CCCATTATAGTGATTAGCAGTCCCTTTGGTTGGGCACTTTGAACTTGGTTTACGTTACTATAATTATCTTCCTGTTAACGTAGTAATGCATTATGAAGTCAGAGTTATTTGATTTCAAAGGAAGAAAAGTAATAAATAGGTTGCTTTTAGAAAGTGACCTATCTTCTAATTAAAGCATTAGTGCATTAATTGTGTGTGTTCATTAATCAACTTTATCAAAAACTTTTTCATAAAGACCCTGAGATGCTTTTTTTTGGGTTTATACAATTCTTAAATCGTGTGTGGTAACATGCTAAAGTCACACACAGACTTAAACATTCAGCACGTGAACCACAACAATGGTAACAATTCAATTTAATTTATTTTCATTACTTGTAACAATAGCCATTTTATTTGCTCTTTTTGTTGTGCTGCTACTGACACAAGACAGCAAATAAAATTGTCAAATAAAAGCAACAACTATAAAACAAAGCAACTGTATAATTTATTCATACCGCAAAGCACTCTGGGAGTCAGTGAGTAGCTATACTAAGTCATGAGTAAACCTAAATGAAAGGATCAAGTACCCCCTACAGTTCTTTTTTAGTTACTAGAACTCTTGTGTAAGTAAACTATACTAACTAAGCATTTGTCAGTACAACATATACTATTGCTATTTCACTTTACTTAGTTTTCAAGGCAATCGGTTTGCATGCTTTTTTTTTAAGTACGCCACTAAATAGATTTTACAGTGTATATATATATATATATATATATATAAAACCAACCCCAGACTTTTGAAAGTGTATATAATTGAAATAATACATATAAATAATTCAAATGCTTCCCAATTGTACAAAAAATACTAATAAATAAATAACTACAGTACTGACCCCAGACATTTGAAAGATAGTGTCCAGTATATAATTGAAATAACACACATAATTTACACAAAAATTGTACCATAAATAAATAAATATAATACTGACCCCAAACTTTTGAATGATAGTGTAATTTCTACAGACTAAAGGCTAGAATACATTACACAACTTTTAAAATATGTAAATAGTTACAGTGGGAAAACTTGGCATCATACACTAAATGACTGACTAAGACACATGAAAAATGCAAACAATATGTGTTTAAAAATCGGCTCAAAACATCAAACATCTGATACCCTCCAACTGGATGGAATCATAGTCTCAAGCTAAAACAAATCAGAGTCTGTGACCATCATACACTATGTGATTTCCTATGAAATTTGTCAGCTCAAATCTGCAGACTGGCTCTGATTTTCAGCAACTAGCGTCATCTTCTCCAGACTGCAAATCGGTGCAAAAATCTGGGCAAAAATTGTGTAGTGTATTCCAACCTTAACCCATTCTTGTGCAGAAATATTATTTATAAAGTATTTGTCTCTTCAAGGGTGTCCCCAAATAGGTTGTGGGGACATTTTATCCGGAACATATTCCCAAAGTTTAGCTTGGTTAGCAACACAAACACACCTTTGACCACTCTCCTCCTTCCAGACGCGGCAGCAGACAGTCAGGGTTCATGCAAATCCTGTGGACGTCAGGTTTGGTTCCAGCGCACTCCTCGTCGCTCAGCCTGCGGTAGCTTCCAGAAGCCAGTCTCTGTTTACAGTAAACCTTACGCCACTGAGTGCCTCTGCCACACGAATGAGAGCACTAACCCAGAGACCAAACAAACACCAACATCAACACCAACAAACCAACCCTCACCACATAACCAGAGAGAGCGCAGCATGCAAGCAAATGCAACCACACGACACTTGATGTGCAGATGTTGTTTATCCAGATAAATAAAAGCCAAGTGAAGATTCAAGATCAGCTATAAAAATTATTCCACATCATGTTCCATAACAAAATATTCTCAAAAACACATGCTCAATGAGAATAACATGTCCTTTCATATGTTTATGTGAATCTCTGGTGCCTTCTGCTGTAGATGAATCCCGCACACTGCTATAGCTTGCAAATCATATTTTAATTAGGGCTGCATACATATTGAAATAAAATCGATATTGCAATATGGCTTAATTAACTTAATACATGCTATAGATAGATAGATAGATAGATAGATAGATAGATAGATAGATAGATAGATAGATAGATAGATAGATAGATAGATAGATAGATAGATAGATAGATCGTTTTCAACATTGATAACAATAATGAAAATTTATTGTGCGCCAAATTAGCATCTTAGAATTATTTCTGAAGGATCATGAAAATTCAGCTTTGCATCACAGGAATAAATTACATTTAAAAGTCGTTTTAACTTGTAATAATATTTTACAATATATTTTTTAATTAATAAATTTTTTACTGTAAATTTTTTTGGTGAGCATAAGAGATTTAAAGAAACAGATTGGGATAGATAGATAGATAGATAGATAGATAGATAGATAGATAGATAGATAGATAGATAGATAGATAGATAGATAGATAGATAGATAGATAGATAGATAGATAGATAGATAGATAGATGAAAGTCCTTTCATATGTTTATGTGAATCTCTGGTGCCTTCTGCTGTAGATGAATCCCGCACACTGCTATAGCTTGCAAATCATATTTTAATTAGGGCTGCATACATATTGAAATAAAGTAATAAATTCAATATGGCTTAATTAACTTAATACATGCTATAGATAGATAGATAGATAGATAGATAGATAGATAGATAGATAGATAGATAGATAGATAGATAGATAGATAGATAGATCGTTTTCAACATTGATAACAATAATGAAAATTTATTGTGCGCCAAATTAGCATCTTAGAATTATTTCTGAAGGATCATGAAAATTCAGCTTTGCATCACAGGAATAAATTACATTTAAAAGTCGTTTTAACTTGTAATAATATTTTACAATATATTTTTTAATTAATAAATTTTTTACTGTAAATTTTTTTGGTGAGCATAAGAGATTTGAAGCATACATATTGAAATAAAATCGATATTGCAATATGGCTTAATTAACTTAATACATGCTATAGATAGATAGATAGATAGATAGATAGATAGATAGATAGATAGATAGATAGATCGATAGATCGTTTTTTTTCAACATTGATAACAATAATGAAAATGTATTGTGCGCCAAATTAGCATCTTAGAATTATTTCTGAAGGATCATGAAAATTCAGCTTTGCATCACAGGAATAAATTACATTTAAAAGTCGTTTTAACTTGTAATAATATTTTACAATATATTTTTTAATTAATAAATTTTTTACTGTAAATTTTTTTGGTGAGCATAAGAGATTTAAAGAAACAGATTGGGATAGATAGATAGATAGATAGATAGATAGATAGATAGATAGATAGATAGATAGATCTATGAAATGTGGGGAATCTATGGGAATGTGGCCTATGAAAACTCAATTAGAAAGACATTTTGTTCAGTCTTAAAAGGATTGACTGGAACATTTGGTTTGCAAACACTTTAAACAAATAAGGTGCTTTTTTTAAGAAACAGATTGGGATAGATAGATAGATAGATAGATAGATAGATAGATAGATAGATAGATAGATAGATAGATAGATAGATAGATAGATAGATAGATAGATAGATAGATAGATAGATAGATAGATAGATGAAAAACAGGGGGAATGTGGCCTATGAAAACTCAATTAGAAAGACATTTTGTTCAGTCTTAAAAGGATTGACTGGAACATTTGGTTTGCAAACACTTTAAACAAATAAGGTGCTTTTTTACAGCAGTATTAGCAGTTAAAATATTTCTTGTAAATCTCAACTTATAACATAAAATATAAAACCAAAGCTATTTGCCACTGCCAGGGCATTAACGTTTTTATAGAAAATATTTTATAGTTTGTTATAGAAAAACAAATTATGCTCAGAGTCCAGAGCCTCGATCTTAACATTATAACAGGCACCTTCCGAGTAGAGACTTGCCTGATCGCGGAACCCAACACAGCAGAGTGTGGTGTGGGAAAACACTTGATGGGTGAGTTCAGGTGCGGGCGGGATGTGGGAGAATAAGGGTATACTCACACTAGGCAATCTTAACCGTGCTGTTTAGCCGTCCCGGGCTCGGTTGGAAGACGTACTGGGCCAGAGAGCAAGGTTCAGTTGGGCTCGGGCGCGGTACGCATGTAGTGTGAGGGCCAACTGCGCCGGAGCATGGAACTTCTGATACGTGCAGCACGATTGCGTATATATACTGTGAGAGGGCCGAGTCCCAAACGACTCAAAATAATAAACCACAAAGTTAACAAAACAATACACTCCACTGTGCTGAGCGAGAGCGCTTCTCTGCTGTCGTGCTATCGGATACTTCCTATTTCCCTCTTGTGAAGTCGTGATTACGAGCACGTTGCATTCTTTTCTGTTAAAAATAACAGTGAACAGTGGTTTGTGAATGTTGATGCATAAATAATTTTATCAGAAGCATTCATGTGAGCGCTGCTGCAGTCTTAGGCCCACCCCAAATGCTCTCATTGGTTGAGACACGTGATGACACCCATCCCAAGCCAGTACTGATCAACATCCCACCCCTCCTGTGACCCATGGTTTGTCTGTATGTGAATTCAGAGCCAGTGAGCAATGGGCTTTCATAATAATAATAATAATAAACTGCATTAATGCGTGATAAAATAATTGTCGGCGTTAACGCGATAATAACGCGTTAACTTGCCCAGCCCGAAAATAAATAAATAAATACATCTTTAGACTAAAAATCTGCTTTTTTTTCAGCTCCCCAATTACCAATAAAATATGCCCACTAATTCTAGAATGATTCATTCTTTCCAATTATACCTATTCAAGTCATCTAGTGAAAATTCCTGTATTTTTTTCACATCGCAATATATATAGCAGAAAAACATTTGCAATGTAAATTTTTCCCAATATTGTGCAGCACAAATTTTAATGCAGCGTTTCTGACATGTGTTTTCAAGCCTGATGAATGTGGCATGAAATGTTGCATCCTACAGAAGTGTGTGGGATTCAACTTATTTTGTCCTAATTTATTCCCATGCACCAGCTTATAGTTTTTACAAGGAGATGAATTGCATTTCTATTTTGACTTTTGTCATGTTTCTCTGAAATCATGGGCTCACTAACCTGCTGCCACTCCTCAGCCTCCCAGGCCGGTGGACAGGCCACCTGGTTGCAGGCCTGCAGTTCTGGAGGTCTTCTCTCCACACACTCTATGCTGGACACAGATTCAGTGCGGTTTCCCACCACAGACCTCACACAGGACACACTGCGCGTCTGCAGCCCCACACCACACGACACAGAACACGGGTTCCACACGCTCACCTCCCATCTGAAGAAATCACACAACACACAAACCATTTCAAATTAATGTGACATACAGAATATTCAGTGAAAATAGGGAAAGATTAGCCTTTTTTCCAGTGGGAATAGATTGGATCATGAAAAGTAGATATTTTACCTCACAATGAAGTCAGAACTGAATGTAGGTTTGGAGTGGACTGAGGAGGTCCAGCTCTATTTACTTATAACAGCCTGAAAATAGCTATTTGGCAAGTGGTTGATGACTGATATTTAAGTATCATTTATATATAAATGTAAGTATATATTAATACTATTTAATTGTAATATTTTCAGTTTTTAATTTAATTTAAATATTTAATTTTAATTTGTGTTTTTGTTATGTGCTTAATTTAATAACATTTAATCATGTATTTGTTTATTATTTAGTTCATTTATAATTAATATTTAATAATTTATTTGAAATTATTTGATAATTTCAGTTTCAGTTTTTAAATTTAAATAATTAATTACATTTTAATTTGATGTTTTTTATCTGCTTTCATCATTTTTAAATATTTCTTGACAACATTTTTATTAAATATTTATATTTTATTTAAGCTTTATTTCAATTACAGAAATATTTATATATATTTTAGTTTTGGTTACACTGCAGTAAACATTAACCAACAGTCCGAGCAGTCTAGGTGACATCAGCCAAAAAGAAAAGTTGCTTCAGATGCAGGGCAATGTATCACTTGATTTATTAGATTAATATAAAAATAACTGATTGTAAAGACAAATATTTTCTTTTGAATAACAAGCAATGAGAAGTCATGCACAATAATACCAGGAACATGAATTAAGAAAGTAAATCATTTAGAATACAAAATGCCAACAATAATCCTTACCACAATAATCTACTATACATTTATGATTTAGCAGAATATTATTATATGTATATTGTATAGTAATGCAAAACATAAAGTGACATTGCCATAGTCTTTGAACTTTATGATCCCTGGCATTCCTTGAAAATCATGATGGGAAAGATCCATATGAAGGCGATCATTGGGCTTAAACACCAGGCATTTAGAATTCAAACAATCCTGCCCATATGATGAAGACAACAATCAAGCTTTTTTCCATAAGCATATGAACTATTGTAATATTCTGAGCCACAGTACATAAAAAGCCACATGAAAAATATCAGCTCCAGTAAAACCATTTATTCCATATTGCACCGCACTAAAAAGCCAGCTGTCCTGCTTTTGTTGGCAAATGGTCAGTTAACAGGAAATCACATTATTTTCATCACATGTCCTTATTTTCAGAGTGGCCTGACAGCCTGCTAAGATTAAATCTGCGTTTGATCTTTGAACATAATCTAGGCCAGCGGTTCAATTTTAGCTCCTTGTTAAGGAGCTGGATGAATTATAATGTAGTTTTTTCCTTACTTGCTTTTGCACGCAATATCTTTCCATGACATGCACATTTGGTGTTGGAAGAATTAATTAGTGGCTTCTGCTAGAGCAAGCATCACTGTATTATTATTATTATTATTGTATATATTTATGGTTAAATAGGGTTGTGCTATTACATTTTAAATTAACAGACTTAAACCTGTCAGTCTTGTGAACAGATTTTTGCCTGGCGGACGATAAGCTCAACAGGATCAACAGCGCTCCAGACACACGTAATCTCTACAAAACATTAAATTCTCTCCTCTGTCCCCCTCCACCACCACCCACCACTTCTATAACAGCTGATGATTTCGCCACATTCTTCACAGACAAAACTAGAACAATCAGCAGTCAATTCTCAGCCCCACACACACAGGACCTCAAACCAACCACACCCACTGCTAAAACTCCCATCTTCTCCTTCTGTCCCATCACTGAGGCAGAAGTATCAAAACTTCTCCTCTCCAGCCACCCTACAACATGCCCTCTAGATCCAATCCCCTCACACCTTCTCCAAGCAATCTCTCCTACACTCTTCCCAGCACTCACACACATCATCAACACATCTCTCCTCACAGGCACCTTCCCCACTGCATTCAAGCAGGCTCAGGTAATCCTACTGCTCAAAAAACCTACATTAAACGCTTCACTTATAGATAGCTAAAGACCAGTTTATCTCCTTCCATTTATAGCGAAAAGCCTAGAACGAGTTGTTTTCAACCAGGTATCATTGTTTCTTTCACAGAACAACGAATTGGATGCTAACCAGTCAGGTTTCAGGAGTGGCCATTCAACTGAGACTGCGCTACTGTCAGTCACTGAAGCCTTGCGGATGGCAAAAGCTGATTCTAAATCACCAGTTCTTATTCTGCTAGATCTATCTGCTGCTTTTGACACTGTCAATCATCAGATCCTCCTGTCCACACTCTCATCACTGGGCATCACAGGGATTCCTCTTCGCTGGTTTGAATCCTATCTCACTGGTAGGTCGTTCAGTGTGGCCTGGGGAGGGGAGGTATCCAAAGCACATCAACTGGTCACTGGGGTTCCACCGGGATCAGTTCTTGGACCCCTCCTCTTCTCCATATACACTACATCACTGGGACCCCTCATACAGGCACATGTTTTCTCCTACCATTGCTATGCTGATGACACACAGCTCTATCTCTCATTTCAACCAGATGATCCAACAGTAGCTGCATGGATCTCAGGCTGCCTAGCGGACATCTCGGCATGGATGAAAGAACATCACCTACAGCTCAACCTGGCAAGGACTGAGCTTCTTGTCTTCCCTGCCACTCCAACTTTACAGCACGATTTCACCATCCAGCTAGGTTCTTCTACAATTACCCCATCAAGTTCGGTCAGAAATCTTGGCTTAATTTTTGATGACCAGCTGACCTTCAAAGACCACATTGCAAAGACTGCTCGATCTTGCAGGTTTGCATTGCACAACATCAGAAAGATCAGGCCCTTTCTAACGGAGCATGCTTCACAACTTCTTGTCCAGGCCCTTGTCATTTCTAGGCTGGACTACTGCAATGCTCTTATGGCTGAACTTCCGTCAAGCACAATCAAACCTCTACAAATTATTCAGAATGCTGCAGCATGACTGGTCTTCAACGAGCCCAAAAGAGCCCATGTTACACCTCTCTTTATCTCCTTGCACTGGTTACAAGACATTGATGCTTGCATATAGAAGAACCACAGGCTCTGCACCCGCCTACTTCCACATACTACTACGAATCTACATCCCCTCCAGAAGTCTGAGATTCGCTAGTGAGCGACGCCTCGTGGTTCCATCACAGAGAGGCACAAAATCACTTTCTCCTGGCTGGTGGAATGATCTTCCCACCCCAATCCGGAATGCTGATTCCCTGACAATCTTCAAGCAACAGCTGAAAACTCATCTCTTTCAACTTAAAAAAAAAAAAAAAGTCTTTCTCTTTATTTATTCCTTTCCTTTCTAGCTTGTACTTATTTGGAACAATGCCTGAAACCTGGTATTATGAGCACTTCCTGTGTCTGTTTCACTTTTTAAGATGAATCGCTTTACGTATTCCCCAATTGTAAGTCGCTTTGGATAAAAGCGTCTGCTACGTATTCCCCAATTGTAAGTCGCTTTGGATAAAAGTGTCTGCAAAATGAATAAATGTAAATGTAAACTGTTGAGAAAATGCCATAGACTTAACTGAGCCACATCTAGAGATCACAATATCACACACTAATATCTGGCTACAGCACCAACTAATCACAGAATTTGGGCAATATTATGAGTAAGTAAAGTCTTTATTTTCAGACTGTTCTTCACACAAAGTTATTTTATGACATTAAAAACATTTTGTGTGCTTTTTAGACATTCACAGTAATTGTGAAATAGTCCTTATATTTAAAAAAAAAAAAAAAAAAAAAAAAAAGCTTAGATGCAATGATAAATAAATAATGACAGGATGTTATTTTTGGGCTAACTATTAATTTAAACAACACATGTAACTAGTGACTCAACAAAGATGATGAAGGAATATTATTTCATTCTTTTCATCATTATGATTATTCACAAAGCATTGTTTATTTACTCATTGTTTAGTTCACTCTTTTTACCATCTAAACTTTTGGGGCCAGGAAGATTCTTTTTTTTTTTTTTTAATGAATACTTTTCAGTAAGGATGCATTAAATTAATCAAAAGCGACAGTAAATACTTTTATAATTATGCAAAAAAATTATATTTCAAATAAATGCTATTCTTTTGAAATTTGTTTAAAATAAAATAATTTATATATATGTACACACACACACAATATGCAAACCCAATTCCAAAAAAGTTGGGACTCTGTACAAATTGTGAGTAAAAAAGGAATGGAATAATTTTTATGCATGAATAAAAGATCCTGGCAAAAAAAATGCACACACCACAGTACTTTCTCATAAATGGAGAAATTGGCCTATAAAAAAATTAGCTTATTGTTATCCTGAAATAGTGCAATTTGTTTATGCAACAAATCCATTTTTTCAATAGTGATTTCTTGCAGTGTCATTTGGACCGTACCTCGGAGGACATGGCTGAGGGTTACAGATGCGAAGCGAAGAGAGCAGCAGTTTGGAGCCGTTGCAGAGTGTGTCATCAACAATTTCCTTTTTCAAGGTGCTCACACACCTGACAACAGCCATCTGTTTGCCTGCAAAACAACACTGTGAGGAACAAGGCTTTTGGCAGAGGAGTATTTCAATACGTATTTTGTAGCCCAGGCTGATCACTATCAGCTCTCTTAGCAATTTTAGATTTCATGCCAATTTCATTTAATCTGGAAAGCTGTACATGTACAAATCTAAATCAGTTATTTTGCTGTAGAAAATTGATAAAAGATATTTGGGCAGTAAATGCATTAGAGCAGTTGTTTTCTCTAATGGGTTTCATGGAGACTCACCAACAGCACATGAAGCAGAGCAGGGAGTGAAGCCCATGTTTTCCCAAACATAGCCGTGCTGATCAGGGATCTCATGGGGCCTCCAGGATGAGTCTGAAGATGCTAAACAGGGACCTGAATCACAGGTCCTTTGTAAGGGAGGCTTGTCCTCATCACACTCTTCATCAGGTAGTTCGACTTCAGCTTGAGTGAAAGACAGCAGCACTTTACATTTCACCTGACGCCTTTGAACGCCCAGACCACAAGACACACTGCAGGATGACCACGGACCCGGGATGAACCTGAACACAAAAAACACACACACACAAAAAAAATCACATTATGAATAGGAGCACATTTTAAAGATAGGCAACCCGTAAGACCTTCGTTCATCATCAGAACACAAATTAAGATATTTTTTTATTAAATCTGAGAGCTCTTTGACCCTCCATAGACAGCAATGCAACTACCACATTCAAGGCCCAGAAAGTTGTTGAAAGTTATTGTTGAAATAGTCCAGTGACATCAGTGGTTAAACCTTAATTTTATGAAGCTACGAGAATAATTTTTGTGCATAAAGAAAGCAAAAATAAAGACTTTATTCAACAATTTCTTCTCTTCCCTGTCAGTCTCCGATGCCTGTTCACAAAAGTACCACAACGCCACTATTTTAACTACGTCCTTACTACCTTTCTGGGCCTTGAACATAGTAGTTGCATTACTGTCTATGCAGGGTCAGAAAGCTCTTGGATTTCATTAAAAATATCTTAATTTGTGTTCCAAAAATGGACGACGGTCTTACAGGTTTGGAACGACATGGGAGTGAGTAATTAATGACAGAATTTTCATTATTGGGTAAACTATCCCTTTAATGTATGTTTTGGGCCTGTGATTATATGTGAGTGCATCTATGAGGCTGATGATACACTGAGCAACTTTTTAAGCAATTTTGCCGGGCAACTTTTTTTTGAGAAATGTTGCTTTGGCACTTTCCCATTGAGAATGGGTAACAAATTTCTATCTGGATATTTTAGATCGGTCGTGGGCCCCGTGTCTCACCTGGTTGCCCATTGATGGCAACATTGCTCAAATAGTTGTCCTGTGTATCATCAGCCTGAGAGCGTGTATATCAGTGAGTGGATTCTAATCTCAGGATTAGAGTTCAGGAAGACGACAGGTCTGAGTGGAGGTTCCTTCCTCAGTGTGTCTCCTCCACTTTTATCAAAGCAGGGATAAGATGGGGCGTGAGACTCCACAACTACATCCAACCCACATAATCCACCCACCCAAATAACAGAGGCAAGCATCCAGCCATGAATTCCACAGCAAAGTGGACTGGGCTCTCTATAAGATAGGGCTGAGTACCAAGCCCTGGTGCACGCCACCTTAGATCACCCTAAATTTAGTTATTGGAGCAACGGAGCAGAACACAAAAGAAGTGCTGCTATCGCTAAATGATATACTCCACTTAAGAGTGTAATTCAAGAAGGGTTTGCAGACAAACGGTAGATTTTATAAAACAGCTATTTTAAATTGTACAAATATTTCACAATATTACAGTTTTATTGTATATTAATCAAATAAATGCAGCCTTGGTGAGTATAAGAGATGTCTTCCAAAGGCATAAAACATACTGGGCTTGTCTAAAATGCTCTCATACTTGCAAAATGCAATGCTTTTTAGGAATCTTAATTGCCAAATTTAAAAGAGAATTGAAATTATGACAATATTAAAAATTTTGCTCAATTTTATGTTGTCAAACCAGCATAATTATTTTGTAAATATTCACCCATGAATATCGCCCCATCCTAGAGAAAGGCAGCAATGCAGTGTTAGTGTGACTATATTACAGGTGCATCTCAAAAAATTAGAATACTGTAAACAAATTATTTTATTTTTTTATTTATTAATTTTGATGATTCGAGCTTAGAACTCATGAAAGTCAAAAACCAGTATCTCAAAATATTAGAATATTTAGATTTGAGTTTCATTAAATGACCATCCCTACAGTATCAATTCCGGGTATCTCTTGCTCTTTGAAACCACAATAATGGGGAAGATTGCTGATTTGGCAATGGTCCAGAAGACAATCATTGACACCCTCCACAAAGAGGGTAAGTCACAGAAGGTCATTACTGAAAGGGGTAGCTGTTCACAGAGTGCTGTATCAAAGCATATTAAATGCAAAGTTAACTGGAAGGAAGAAATTGGGTAGGAAAAGGTGCACAAGCAACAGAGATGACTGCAAGCTTGAGAATACGGTCAAGCAAAGCCAATTCAAACACTTGGGAGAGCTTCACAAGGAGTGGACTGAAGCTGGAGTCAGTGCATCAAGAGTCACCACACTCAGACGTCTTCAGGAAAAGTGTTACCAAGTCACTTCTGAAACAGAAACAACGTCAGAAGCATCTTACTTGGGCTAAGAAGAAAAAGAACTGGACTGTTGCTCAGTGCTCCAAAGTCCTCTTTTCAGATAAAAGTAAATTTTGCATTTAATTTGGAAATTAAGGTCTGGAGTCTGGAGGAAGACTGGAGAGGCACAGAATCCAAGCTGCTTGAAGTCCAGTGTGAAGTTTCTGAAGTCAGTGATGATTTGGGATGCCGTGACGTCTGCTGGTGTTGGTCTATTGTGTTTTATCAAGTCCAAAGTCAATGCAGCCATCTACCAGGAGATTTTGGAGCACTTTATGCTTCCATCTGCTGACAAGTTTTATGGAGATGCTGATTTCCTTTTCCAGAAGGACTTTAGCACCTGCCCACACTGCCAGAACCACTTCCAAGTGCTCACACCTCACTGATGCTGGAGTTTGTGCTAAAGGAGCCTCGACCAAGTATTGAGTGCATAAATGAACATATTTTAAAGAACTTGAACTTTTCTGTTTTGCAAATCCTTTTTTTGATTGATCTTAGGAAATATTCTAATATTTTGAGATACTGGATTTTTGACTTTCATGAGCTGTAAGCTCTAATCATCAAAATTAAAACAAGAAAAAAACTTTTGAAATGTTTTACTTTACATGTAATGAATCTAGAATATATGAAAGTTTAACTTTTTGAAATAAGTTATAAAAATTTTTTTCATGATATTCACGTTTTTTGAGATGCACCTGTAACGTACAATATAACACTTAAAAAAAACTCACGTTGGATCTTCCAAGGCTGCTTTGGTTTCTTCCAGTTCTTGAGCCTGTTTCAACCAGGGCAGCT